TTTATTTTATAGGTATGTTTTATTTTATTTGAGCGGAACCCTAATTCTTTAAAAAAAAGTACCCTATGTTACTCACTATAAATCAGCTATCTTCCAGTGAAAGTCCCGTCAAAATCAATTCAGCCGCTTTAGACATTATCCGGAACAAACAGACAGACAGAAAGACAGACAGACAAAAATTAAAAAAAATGTGTTTTTCTTATAAGTACCGTATATAATTTCATATGCATTTAGTAAAACGCTATTATTTTAACATTACAAACACACACTTCAATTTTATTTATCTGTATATATCATTATTTCAATATTCCCAATAATGTGTGAAATGTAAGACTGGAGTCAAATATAAAGTGCTAAAATGAGTAAAACACGAGTAAACCTAAACTTATAAGTTAGTAATAAATATAGCGCTCGAACTGCTAGAGTCAGTAATATGCACTATACAACTGTTGATATTTACAAACTGATATCGATAGCTCAAAGCTAATCAAAGTTATGCAATTGAGCTGCTGCAAACATCTAAGAGAAATGGGTATGGATTTTATAATATACTAGCGACTCACCCTCGCTTCGATCGGGTTCGTCCCTACTTACGTTTTAACGTTTAGTATCGAGTTCTCAGAGATGAGATATTTTCCCGCTGTACAAAGTATCCTATATGTTGACCCGGATAACCAATTATCACCATACCAAATTTCATCAAAATCCCTCTAGTGATTTTTCCGTGATGCGGTAATAGATAGACAGACAGATAGACAGACAAAAATTCTAAGGACTATAGATTCGGCCTCTGTATCGATAATAATGTTTATTTCAATAAGATTTTCCAAAAAAATATTTAATGTATAGATAGATTCGGTTTAGTTACAACTTTATTATATGTACGGACTTCTAGTTTACTAATGTTGGTACTTTAACCAGAATTGCATCTTTGAAGAAAAAAATCCACCCAAGGATGAAATATAGTGATTTTCAAATCAGTGTATTTTATTGTAACAAATGATGTCATTCATCGGGTATTTGAATTTTATTTAAAGTAACGTATATCTTTATTTTAGTCCCTCCACGACCACGGACACGTCCGCATTACAGTTAACAATAGATTTCTTAAAAAATTAAATAATTTCTTAGAAATTTACCTGGAGGTGTTAATGGAGTATATACATACAGATTATTTACAAATTGACGGTACCTTAATATTGGTAATAGATTTAAAACCTAATGAATAGTTCGAAGATTACCTCCTACAAACTTAATTTTACCATTTTATAATATTATTGTAAACAAGCGGATCACCCTTGCTTCGCTCGGGTTCACGTCTAGAAAAACAAACCTATCCCACGGGAACCGTACATTTTTCCGGGATAAAAAGTAGCCTATGTGTCATTCCAGACTATAATCCATCTCTATTCCAAATTTCATCCAGATCTGTTCCGCCGTTCTGGCTTCAAAGAGTAACAAACATCCATACATACTGACAAAATTTCACATTTACAATATTAATACGAATTTTCTTCCGCAAATATAGAAACTTTAACCAATAGAGAGAAACTTCAATACAACACGAGTTATAACATAGTTATAAAATCTACCATTTTACTAGAACTTGTGCTGTGAAGTGAAGACAAAACCACTTCCGCTTCCATTAAGTTGTTCAAAACATTTTGGATGTTTACAAACTATCGGTATTGGTGATTGTTATTCAAAGTTAGCATAACGAATAGAATTGGCTGGACGTTGTATTCTAAGGAAAATATTATTTAGATCAAATGAAAAAAAATTAAAGGAATAATAATATTACAGGTAAATTGATTATTTGTATGTATAAATTATTTCGATCTATAATTACACAACGGGACTTCCCACGTTCAGGTAAACTCTAAGAAATTAATTAAAATTCTAAGAAGTCCATTGTTAACTGACACGCTGGCGTGTACGCGGTCGTGGAGGAATTAAACGCGTGAATTCGTTAGTGACTAGATACCTCATTCCCGACGTTTTGACTGGGATCTAGTTCTATGGTAAGCTACGAGACTTGTGTTATGGATACAAGATAGTTGATACGCTACACATAAATAACTTTAAATACATGTAAAGAAATAAGACATATTATAAATATAAACATTCGTGCTACACAAATGAATGCCCCCAGCGGGACTTGAACTCGCGACCGCTGGCACAGCAAGTAGGATCACTACAAACCGACCAAACGTGTCGTCAATTGTAATCCATACCAATATTATAAATGTAAAAGTGTGTTTGTTTGTTTGTTCGTTTGTTTGTTTGTTTGTTTGTTTGTTTGTTTGTTTGTTTGTTTGTTTGTCCTTGTTTCACATCGAGATAGAGTGACGGATTGGCGTGATTTCTTAAGTGGAGATAGTTGGAGGGCTGAAAATTGATATAGGTTATTTTTAACTGCGGGAGATTATCTCATTCCCACTGGAAAACACGATATAATACAATCCAAAAAACTTGGAATTTGGTATTAATACTCGTCTTTAATAAATAGTGTATTCGCATTTTTCGAAATTCATCCCATTAGAAGGTAAAATAGGGGATGAAAGTTTGTATGAAAACTACCTTTTTAGATTTTTTTTTGTAGTTTTAGCGCGAGTGGAGTCCTGGGTTCTGTTTGTTATTATATATTATTATGGAACGCCAAAATTTAAAAAGCTATATTTCGTCGTAGTCGTTTCGTTAGAGTAGTTAAGCTAGGCCTTAGAAATCAAAATGTGTCAGAATCAAGGGCTTTACAGTTTTCTTTATCAACTGAGTTTGTGTTAGTTTTTATGGGATTAGTCGCTCGTCAAGTCCATGACAGCTTCTTACTTCAATGATTAAGATCTCTCAAATAAGAAGTGCTAAGACGCTTTGTTACACATACGTTTATAATTAATAAAGAAATTAGAAAGCTAATATCACGAAAAAAAATGTATATTACATGATATTTGATAGATTTCTAAGCGGAGAGATCAAATTTGCGGGCATGTTTTTAATATCCATATTACGAGTATGTATGGATGTTTGTTACTCTTTCACGCCAGAACGGCTGAACGCGATCTGGATGAAATATGAAACAGAGATAGAATATAGTCTGAAATAACACATAGGTTACTTTCTATCCCGGAAAAATGTACGGTTCCCGTGGGATAGATTTGTTTGTGTTTTTCTAGAGACGAATCCGAGCGAAGTGAGGGCGAGCCTCTAGTATTAGAATTTTTTGATATCTTTTCTATTTAATAATCAGTTTGCTTATTTCCTTTGATGGAATGAATTGGGAGATAAACTATTTCTCAAGAGTAAATAAATTTAAAATAAAAAAATCATTATTAAGGTTAAAATATTAATTTTGAAGTGATTTTAAAAACTGATTAAAAAAAATCTACAGTACAATTATAATCACAGTAAATCAAATAATTAACTCAAATAAAGACACTGATATGAATAAGTAGAAAAACAAAAAAACTCAAGCTAGTTTCCACATTTTAAAATATATCATTTTCACTGCAATTTTTTAATGTTGCAATAAAACGTAAATGTGCATTTTTCATTAAAAATAAGTAAAAATACTGAGTGCTAATAGAAAATTTTACGTTAAAAACGCTATTACGAAAGCCATGTAATTTATAACTTGTAGTGATAAGATCTACTGTTCCATCCATCAGTCCCACACTCGGGTTTCGCGTCGTTTGTCTAAGCAGATTATTTTCTTTACATTTTATTTAGAGTTTAAACTGAAACTTTTATTCGAGAAAACTACTTAGCTCTTTTTATAGAATGGTTTTATAAATTAAAGCTTGATATATTGCTTAGTAAATGCGAGAGAATGATCGTAGATAATGAATTTGTGGAATAAAAAATTTGAAACAAAAATAATGTAAAAGTTTATGCAAATTTCTTTATATATTTTTTTATTTTGGTAAAGAAAATGTAAATGAAAAATTGGATGGATTAAAAAATAAAAAGTGGCATTTTAGCTCTTTATCCCTTTAGTGTGTGTGAGTCTTCTCGACACAATCTCCTTAACGTTCACTATAAGTACATATATAGAGAAAAATATGCTAATGTTTCTACTTGTTAGTACTACGTGCCAGTACTTTCTAGTTTCTAATTTATTAGTACAATAGGATAAATTTCCGAAAAGCGGAAGCAAAATTTAAACCTGAAATTTGGCATATAAAAGATTATAATAAGAATATAAAAGATTTTTTTGGCATATTTGAATATTTTTGAAGTTACTGTATTTCAAAATTACTATAAACGATCTATTATATAGTTTTTTTTACTTTACTAACATTTTAAAAGGTAATTTTACATTTATTTGTATCTGTAACATTTGAAATCACTTGTGTGTAATATTGTACAATGCATTATTATCAATATGTATTATTAAGGTTTTAATAATGTTACCACACAAGTAGTATACAAATCATGATAATATAACACTTAAGTGTATTATTATAGTTTTTCATCTTTCTATCCCATCCTATTAAAGTATACATATATACGATTTTGTTACTTCGAAGCTATTGGGTTGAAATCAGGAATCGAATCCAGAACCTTGACATACAATACACAGTCAATATAAGCACTTCTTCGCGAGCATGCAATATTATCCTCATATATCTATTTCCCATTCAGCAAAAACACTCGTATTTGTTGGATATCTATCTATATATAGTATAAAACAAAGTCGCTCCCACTGTTTGTACGCTAAGATCTTTTAAACTATGCAACGGATTTTAATGCAATTTTCAATAATAGATAGAGTGATTTAAAAGAAAGGTTTATATGTATAATACATGCATATTATATTCATACTACCGGTTAAAACGTACTTAGGGACGAACCCGAACGAGTTCTTTTTATAAGCAGCAACGAACTAATGGACTGATATGATTTTTTGTAAAGACAATAAGCGCAAAGAGTGACATATTTTAATATTTATTTACCACTTTTCAGTTCTATGACATAAAAACTAATAGAAAATGATCAACTCGATGAAGATTCACGTAATATTTTCATGTACCCTCATACTAAATGTTGTAATGACTTTAAAAACAAATACATCATTGAAAAAGCAGTTTACAGAACACTCTACGGTAAATGATAATAAAGCATTTCCATATATGGCAGCGATATTACAAAAAACGGCATACCTAAGTTCGGGAGCTTTGATCGATGAGAGTTGGGTTTTGACAGGTGCTGACTCATTGTATACGTGAGTATTAAAATAATTCAGCCCTTTCTCGATCAGATCAGACTACGCCGACTAAATAAAGATTGGCGGACTATATAGGTTGATTTTTTTTTCTTTGATACCTCCTCTGGGTCTTACGAAATTGCACTAAATTAGATAGATAGATAGATGCTTTATTGTACACCACAAAGAAATAATTTAGCAATTTGTAGTATGTTGAAGATGATTTATGTATGTACATATAAAAAAAAACCTCCAAGTTTTGAATGGCTTAATTTGGTGCTCAAGCGAGCGCGTTATAATTTTTCAGGATACGTGAATCTTCAAGGACACTTCGCGTTCGCCTTGGAACTGTAAATTATAAGAAAGGTGGCTATCTGACACCTATTAAATTTTTCGAAATTCATCCTTATTTTGATGACAGTAAGCCACAATTTGATGTAGCACTCATCAAATTACCTCATCCAGTCGTAATGACCCCCAGTTTAAATCCAATAAAACTTCAGAAAAGACCAACGATATTGGCTGCTATGCATTTTACGGTTACTTCTTGGCCTATTTATAAGGTGATTATGATTTTTTTATTTGTAGTAATTAATCATATAGTTACTAATAAAAGTAAAATATAGGTAAAACTTTTTCAAAGCTTTTGTCACTTTTTTCAGGTTAAATGATTAATACTTATATTTCTATATTCTGTGTAATTTCGTTATTTTTTATTGAAAATTTAATATAAATGATATTTTTTTTTTAATTTAATGCCTGTAAAATAAAATATTATAACGTTTCCCGTAAAGTAGTGCAGATTTAAAGGCTATAACATTTAGACATACTGACATAAACAAACAAGCAAGCAAAATCTATACAGGTTTTTCTTTTATCGTCGTACTGAAATCCGAAAAAAATGAGATTTTTATACAAGTAAAAACTAAATTACTGAAATTTTATTGTACGGTTAACAGTCTAATCTAGAAATTAAAAAAAAAACTGATTGAAGTTAAATTTCAATCGGAAGTAGTTTCACAAAGACTCTAAAAATTATATTTTAAGAATTTTATAAATAGGTTATGGAGTTATTTGCGTTTATTGTTTTTGAATAAGATATAATTGATAAAAAATAAATTTCAGCAAAAAAAGGTATATAAGCACGGAGTATACAATAACTTGGAACGAGCTCTAACTGTCAAATATCTGCACCCATCTAATCGAGAGCGGTGTTCTGAGGAACTCGATGCCCTAGTACCAGATGAAGATAAGGCACTAATATGTCTACATCCAGGAATTGATAGTGATCCATGTCAGGTAGATTGTTACAAAAAACTTTTTACATTCCCACTAATATTATAAACTAGCCTAGGTGGTGTAGTGGCTAGCATGTACGGCTGCACACTCGGAGGTCCTGGGTTCGAGTCCCGGGTCGGGCCAAGTTTAGTTATTGAGTCTTTCTGTATAGTAAGTCTCAGTAACAGCCCGGAGTTGGGAAGTTGGCGGTGTTTCACCCCAGTGCCTCGGAGAGCACGTAAAGCCGTCGGTCCTGCGCCTTAACTCTCACTGGTCGTGTCGAGCGGTCGTCCCACCGGAGTATGAGAGTGACAGGAATAGAGAGCGCACGTTGTGTCTGCGCGTACACTTGTGCACTATAATATCTCCTGCGCAGTTGGCTAGCCTCAATGAGATTGGTCGCCGTTGCCGGAATCAGCTAGGAGAACATCAAACTAGCGACTCCTTTGATGCGTCTTTAGGTACCTAATAATAGCCTATGTGTTTTTTCAGATCATCTGTTAGCTATTTTTTTTTAATAATTCATCCAGAGTGTTTAACGTAAAGGAATAAAAAATATTTATTTATATAGAGTTTTTCATATAGTTATTTAAAATTGTAACTTCTAAAAAGTAGAAAATGAAAACTAAATTAAATTCATTTATTTACAAGAAATTAAAATAAAAAAAAGTTTTTTTAATAAATTATTTCTTTTATATTTTTAATGAAATTTTATAATTTTATTATAATTTTCAGAGAGATGTTGGTGCACCAGTGGTTCTAAATGGCGTTTTATGGGGCATCGTGTCCTCTTGGATATCAGAAGACTGTGACATAGAGCCTGTATTAGTAACCATGGTATCTAACAGTAATATCAGCTCATGGATACATTCAACTATACATGGAAAGAGATGGCGCAGGAAATATATTGGCAATAACAATAATTTGATTTGAAATTTATATTACACTAGCATCGCCCGCGGCTCTGCCCGTGTTCAGATGATGATTTCTCAGAAATGAGATATTTTCCCGCGGTAAAAAGTATCCTATATGTTGACCTGGATAACCAGCTATCATCATACCAAAATTTTATCAAAAACCCTCTAGTGGTTTGTCCGTGATGCGGTAACAGACAGACAATAATTCTAAAAACTATAGATTCGGCCTCTGTATCGATGATAATGTCTATTTCAATAAGATTTTCCAAAAATATTTAATGTACTGATTAGGCTTAGTTAGAATTTTATTATATGTATAGACTAGATTTGCTCTATATGACTCTACGTAAGCTATAAGCGCCGCTACAATATCTCTATGCTTTATATTCGTGACGGCTGACTAACAATATAAGAATTAAATAAAGTATTAAAATATTGAATTTATATTATTTAATATTTCAATGAAATTATTCAACATGAAAATTAAATTATTTAAAATTAAAAAAGAATTGATCTCCTTTGAAATAATATACAATTTATATGGATATGACTTGTAGTGTGTGGTAGCCCAATGATAGCGAGGTTGCATTTCTAGTATTTTATATGCGAAACATTTCCAACATGATTAAAATATGCTGATACGGTGAAAGTAAACATCATAAGAAAAAGATAAAAGATAGCAAATTAAAAGACAAGTGAAGTCTGCCAACCCGCATTTGGTTTGCGTGGGCTTTGGTGGGCTTTGATTTGATCCATATATATGTAGTATGTAGTAGTATCCCGTTCCCAGAAGTGGGACGTTTAATAGGGCAGAATACAAAGACTGGGATAACAGTATATTAATTTATTGAGTGATAGTAATACACTACACTATACACACCTTGTTCTTATTAATTTATAATGAGCATCTGATAATATCAATTTACACTGTTTATTTAGCTTTAAGGAAAATAACATGAATTACTATAATGTAAAACATACGTTCAATTCATAATATAATATCGATATCTATACTATAATAAAACAGTAGAGGTCGAATTTTTTCAAATTTTTGTTTCTCTGTCTGTTTGTCTGTTTGTACGGGCTAATCTCCGGATCTATTGGACCGATTTCAATGAAATTTTGCATGTTGGTATCTTATATCTTCGGGCAACATCTTAGATACTTTTCATCCCAGAAAATTAAAGAATTCCCGTGGGATAGTTAAAAAACTATAGTGTCTTATACAGCTTAGTACACAACAACTTATGCACCTAATTTAGTAAAATTTAACATTCTAATATTGCCGGTCAAACAACAGGTTACTTTTCATCCCGGAAAAATGAACGGTTCCCGTGGGAACTAATAGATCTCTATTAGTGTTTTTCTAGAGGCGAACCCGAGCGAAGCGAGGGTGAGCTGCTAGTATTATAGTAAGTATAGGAAATAGAAGGTATCAATAATACAGAAACAACGAGGATAAGCTCAGATTTAACCACTCGAGTGAAATAACAATATTTATATTAAAAGATAAACCACTTATTCTATATGAAATATTTATTCAAAACCATGATTTTAATATTTGACATCCGTTTCAGTAATATTAATTTGTTATAGGATGTTATAGGTTTAAATTCTAGCTAACTTTTGCCTGTGGCGGCGCCTTGTGTTAAGATTGATTTTACTGTCTTTATAGATACATACAAACTGACAGAAAAATAATAATGATTTTTATATGGATTTTTTTATATATATATTTTTTATGGTGGATTTTTTTCAAATATATAAGACATTTCTAATTTACTTATTAAAAAATTAAATTGAATCGGTAAACAATATATTGCGTTGTTTATCCATACTAATATTATAAATGTGAAATTGTGTTTGTTTACTTGTCCTTCTTTCACGACGAAATAAAGTGACGGATTGACGTGATTTTTTGTGTGGAGATAGTTGTGAGAGAGAGGGCTGGAGAGTGACATAGTGAGATCTTCTTATTTCCCCGGAAAAACACGTTATAATAAAAATCTAAAAATTGTTTACGATCATAATTACTTGAAACTTGGTATTAATGCTGATAAATATAATTAACTAGCGGACCCGACAGACGTTGTCCTGTCTACACGTCTTTAATTTGAAAATTTCAAACTTTTTCTAATAATTTTTTTGTTGAAAATTATTATTCAAATTGTGAATCTAAACCATTCCCAGATCCCCTTGAACACACACAAAAAATTTCATCCAAATCGGTCCAGTCGTTTGAGAGAAGTTCAGTGACATACACACTCACAGAAGAATTATATATATAAAGATACACATATTTAACGTGTTTTAGTATTTTTGAAATTTATCTCATAAGAGGGTAATAGGAAATGAAAGATTGTATGAAACCTACCTTTTTAGTTTTTTTCTGTAGTTTTAGCGCGGTTCTGTTAGTGTACATATAAATTTATTAAGAATAAAACCGTACCGTCGATTTTGTAGTCCGAAGGTTTCACTCTCTACTCAAACGGACCTTGTAATAAAATAAATTAGAATTAATCAATAATCATTAATATTACATAGATAAAGTTGAACAGTAAAGATTAAGCTACAAAAGCCTCCTATCTTTTTTGGTCATTATTCGCGCCAGAAAGTTTTGAAAAAATAAAATGTATCCTTGAAATCTTAATATTTTTAACTGGAATTAAGCGTTTAATACTAAGTGCGTATAATATAAAAGCTTAAAAAATAGGTGCGCCATGGGTTTGACGCAAAATTAAAAACTAGGGCAATGGGCGTGTCGTTGAATTATAAAGATTTATGATCGTCATTCGAGTTATATTAGTCAAGATTTAATAACATACTTCGTGACTTATGTATAGTCGTGATAATGAGTAGTGTGAAAGCATAACCAGATGAAAGTTTTATATTATTTCTCATATATTATGTTCCCTTATATTTTACTACCGACTCATCCTCGTTTCGCTCAGAATCGTCCCTAGCTTGATTCCCCATACAATCTTTCATCCCCATTTTCAACCCCTTAAGGGATGATTTCCGGGATTGAAAGTACCTTATGTCCTTCCCAGGGTCTCAAACTATGTTCTTACCAAATTTCGTCTAAATCGGTTCAGTAGATCCAGAGATTACCCCCTACAATGTCACAAACTTACAATCTCACAAACTCACAAACTTTATCTCTATAATATTAGTATAGATTAATCTATACATATAAATAAAGTTGAAGTCTTTGTGATTTTAAAATAACGAGAGAGAGAGAGAGAGAGAGAGAGAGAGATTTATGTGATACCAGTATCTAAACAACCTTTTTAAAAAAATATCTATCTGTCAGCCTGTTTATGTTGGTCCAGGGTAATCTTTAAAACGGCTCCACCGATTGTAATAAGATTTTCACTGAAGATAGAGGAGTTTGTAGGGCTACATATAGGATATGTGTTATTCGAGTTCCACCGCAAAAATCGTAAACCTTTAAAAATTTGTCATTTGAATTAAAAGTGAATAATTCGCTATTAAAAACTCTTTTGGTAAATTGGCCGCTTAGAGCTTTACATCAATAAGCCCTGAGACGACGGTTTATTTGTATGTATTTTTTAATTCTTTTTATGTATGTTCATCGATTTCTCTGTGATGGCTGGAATAATTTCGTTAGTTTAAATTAACATAAAAATTTCTTTGACATAAAATATCTCGTCTGTAAAGTGTTTTTTTTTTCAACTTTGTTAGCGTGCATGATATTATCAAATATGGCGTGATAATATACACTAGGTACTAACGTCTTGCTAATTTATAATTAAGGCGAAATAAAAATAATTAATTATTACTACACCAACACGTATAATAAAATGAAGGAAATTTATTCATAAATTCATATAATTTATAATTTTATGGTGTTTTACTCGTAGAAAGAATTTTTTTTTATTTTTTTTTGTCTATCTAACATCTAATCATACAAATATAACATATTTCTGAATAATTATAAATGAAAGACTTATTTTATAGCTAACTTTCTGTGTCCAAGTTTTACTTCAAAAATTCGTACTACGAAGTACATTCGTATTTATTAATTATTATAATATTATTATATATTATTATTAATATTATAAATATGAATGTTTGTGAGCATGTATGTATGGACGCTTGTTACTCAATCACGCCAGAACGGCTGAACGGACCTGGATAAAATTTAACACAGAGATAGACTATAGTCTGGAATGACACATGGGCTTTTTATCTCGGAATATACGCTTCCCGGGGGAAAGGATTGTTTTTGTTTTCCTAGAGGTGAACCCGAAGCAAGAGTGAACCGCTAGTAAATCATATTTCACTGTTGATGAGTGAGAGTAAAAGAGAGATCATAAGTCTAGATTTTACCGCTAGAATCTAGATTGATAGAGAAACTTGAGACTCGTCTTGGTACTGATGGGAATAGACTCACCCGCGACTCCGCCCGCGAAGTGTCTTAACATATTACCAACTATTACTTTTTACATTTTTATAAATAAAGTGTTACTCTGATGCATATGCTATATAACTGGAACGTTTTATCAAAATCCATTAAGTAGTTTTTATATGAAAGAGTAACAAACATACATTCACACTCCACAAACTTTCACCTTTATAATATCAGTTAGACTTATTTAGAAATTCTTATTAACCAACATATTTTATTTTGTTTATTGAATAGACTTAGCTTAAATGATTTTCTAATTGAAATAGAAACTATGGATTGAAATGAATGTAATGTATTGATAGAGTGAATTAATAAAAAAATCTCCAAAAAGTGTGGAACGTGATGTAGACATAAAGACCGATCTAGACATACGCCGTGATATCTTACCAATATGACACGACTGGCCTTTCACGTGTTGACAAATAGCTGTCGTATCCCAAAGTAAATCACTTTGAACCTAGATTGCGCGAGATTAAACGAGAAAACGTGAGACAAGACACGATTTATCAACACAAAATACTATATTTTATGCGTCACGGCGAATTTGTAGCGTTGTTTTCACAGTAGCTTTCGATTATTCA